ACTGTATGATACATAAATTAAAAGCATGCATGGGTTTTAATCTAAAGCAAATTGTAGCCATGAATTGTAAATGACAAAAATAAGATACAAGAAACCAGAAGTAAACAATCCTGCCAACCGCCCCTCCCTCCCAACCCCCAACATACTATTCCTAGATCTAATTCCCCAACTGAGGATGATCACAGATAAAACATAACGAAAAACTTCCAAAGAATGCGAACCAACAAGTTAAGTCATGTACAATATAAGTGTAGCCCCCTTATAAAACTAGGATCAAAACGGTGTCAAAAATTATATGCTATCCTGCCGAAAAATAAATAAATAAACAAATAAATATAATTTAAAAAAAGAGAAAGAAAGAAAAAAAGGGGAGAAAAGGAATGTACGATTTTATAACCATAAGTCCAGCCTTGCTAGCCTGGTAATACCAAACTCTGCTACTTTGCTTTGCTTCGTAGACAGAGTCTGGAATGGCATAATTGAAAAGTGTTTTCTTTCTCGCAGGGGGGTGGGGGGTGGGGGGGGGGGTGATTGTCTGAAGTATAAAATCATTGGTTACCCGTAAGCCAATCACATAACGTTTGGTTATGACATGTGTTATTCGCCAGCTCAGCCGCATCGAACTTCCACTGTAAACACATGTATGATGCGAAAATGAAACCATCGGGCAAAATACCGGAGTGAACAGGGCTGACCGAGTTTTGCTGCCTCCTTAACCTGATCCTCCATGAGTGCAACCAAGGGGGACACAATCACAACTATTGCCTTGCCGGCCTTTGGCCTGCCCAGTTTCTCGCTGACGATCGGTAATAGTTGATAAATTAAACTTTTCCCAAAACCTGTCGGGAGTAGGGTCACAACATCACCTCCATTCAAAATGTTTAACAAACACTCTTCTTGTTCGGGCTTCAGTTTGCAAATGCCGGGAATATTCTCCACAATAGAGCGAATTGTATCCCGTGTCTCCATAGCCGCGGTCGTTTTCGATTTCCCTAACCTAAAATACAATCTTAAACTCGGTGCTTAGCATCTACGTCACGGCTCTCAGCCCTCTGTTCGTTGATTGGCCGGCTGTTTTCAGGCCGGAGGAAAACTGAGAGACATGTCGATGTCTCAGACTGAGTACAGAAGCGAACTGAAATAGAGCGGAAGTACGAAGTCTGACGCAGTCAGGCTAGAGCCTTGCAGGGTACAAGAGACCAAATCTGACTCCCTTTTCGTAGAGCCGAGACTTCACGTCTTTGAACACCGCTCGCTTCTTCCCCAGCTCAGCGCTGAAATCCTCGTGGAAAAACACCCGGCGTCCGTGAAAGAGCAACTCTCGCTGTTGCTTACTGAATCTGAGGATGCGATGCTTGTCCTGGAAGTAGTGAAAAAGAACCAGAAACACTCTGGGTTTGGTCTGATTGGCCCTTGCATCGTTGGTTGGGTTGGGTCCGACTCGATGACTCGAGAAAGAACAAGAGGACTTGTGAAGAATTCTTTCCCCAGTACTTTCCTTAAAAAAATCATTTATAAATTTAATCGGGTCTTGTCGTTCCAACTTTTCGGGAATGCCCACAACTCTCATATTAGATCTCCATGAGCGATTTTTGAGGTCGTCCAGCTTTTCCTTCAGTGATACGTTCTCTTTCAGTAGCGCATCCATTGAAGCCTCAACTTTTTACCAGCCTATCACTGTAGTCATTTAGGCCATCTTCAACCTCGCGAAGTCGTTTGTCATGAGCTTCGTAATATGATTTAAAGGTCCCCTGACATGGAGTTATTTTATTATTTTATAATGTTTCCTGGGTTGCCCTTATAATGTTAGTATGTTTTTTAGATCAAAAATAGTCATAATTTAGAAATAAAAGGCATTTTTCCTAGCCTGATTTTAGCCTCTGATTTGAACTCTCTGTTTGAAGGGGCGTGTCTGCTGTGGGATTCAGTGTAACCAGCCACTGCTGTAATTGGCTGACATGCTTGCATATGAAATAGCTACGTATTACATGTGAAACTCTCTCGAATACTTTTACTACAGCTATTATACATTTTTACTATTCCAGCTATCGAGATTAACGAATTGTGAGAAGTTTTTAAAGTATTTAGATCTATTCCCATCACATAAAATGTTCCTGTGATGAGCATTGAGCAAGCAGATGACAGTCTGTTGATCGCGAGAATGAAGATCTTATCATTGCAATGCAGTTTCTGCACTCTCTCTAATGCTTTCACCAATGCAAACACGATGATGTACATACAGTAAGAGCTTTGTTGTGCAGTGTAACGTGCGTCATTGATTTCATAATGAGTTGTCCAGATAAACTCGCGCTGTGTGGAAAGATTGTTCTTTGATCGCTTTCTGTATAATTTGTTCACAATTTAAATAAGATTATTTTCATCCTACTAAAAGAAACGATGTGAAGTTGATATTTGTGTCATTCCTGGTATGAGGCGACTTGTCCTACCCCAATGATTTATTTACTCATATTTTCTCTAAAATGAGTCACATTATAATAAATGGCTTAAATTGTAGATTTAAAGCTGCAGTCCGGCGTTTTTCCTCTTTGTCGCCATCTCTGTTCGAAATCTGCAATTGCAGTCATTCGCGGAATAATCAACTTTACGTGAGTTGTACTTCAACACCCTCGACACCTCACAGCGCGGAGGAACACAATGTCTGAGGAGAGTGTGAGGCTGTCAGTCACTGAGTCGGTGTGGATAATGTCCTTCAGAATCACAAATTATTATTTTTGGAAGTATGACCAACATAAGAATTTTCACCGGAAAATGTCATCTGAACTAGTAAGAAACATCCACCTTTGTTCTGGTTCTGACATTGCAGTAAATCGCACTGATTAAATCTAACAATTGCTTATAAGTTATCATATCACGCAAAACCGTGCAAATTATACTTTGTTCTCAAATTGTTAATGTTAACAACATCAGCATTGCGTGACTACATGGACTACATGTACAGCATTGGGTGACTCCTTCCGATATGTATCCTTGTTTTCGCATGGGTCCGGTTGCAGTCTTTTTTTTTTTCTGTAGCCACTCCGAAGTCCGAACAAAGTCTTTTGCATTTTACAGCGGGTGAATCTGTTGTCACTGGTGATTGTCGTTTGAACCTTTCTGGATCCGCCATCAAATTGATAAGTTTAATTATATCAAGTGCAGTGAGAAAAGGCTATAAATCTCCACCTCCAACATCCTCACACGCAATATAGCCTACTAGCCGAGACTCCTTCTTTATGTGTACAGATGTGACGTAATGACGCAAAGACATGCTCGAATCTCCCGCGGAAATCCACCAGTACCACTGGAATTAAAAACATTATTACAAGCTTACCGCTTTGAATCGAGCTACGGCAAGCAGATAGTTTTGAACACTGGCTGGTTATGTATTTTCTCAAATATGTATTTTGGATCATTTTTATCCCCAAAAAAGCTACGGACTGCAGCTTTAAGTATTCTTTACCATTTAAACAGAGATAATAAACATTAAAAATACTATTTTGTATTTTACACTATTTTAATTGATGTATGCATTCAATTATATCATGTCCTCAGTGCACAGTAATCAACTTCTGCAAGAAATATAAACCATGAAATGACAAAAACCTCAAAATATTTTAAAATTATGTTAGGCTAAATTGCCTCTAATCATACATATAAATCATGTGAAAATATAAATCTTTTTCTTAAAATTTTCTTCAATTACTGCGTCCCTAAAGTCGTCTTCCACCCTGTTAGTATGTACTTTTTTGCCTTCCAAATCCGACTGCAATTTCATTGAGACCATTTTCAAGAAGTGACTTCATTTCTTTTATCTGCTGGAATTCAACTGTACAAACTGAGGTAAGCTTCAACTCTCACTCCTAACTTTTTTTTTAGTTTTTGAAATATTATCCTGCTTGTCCTTAAAAGTTCCACCCTGTTAGGCTATGTTATGGAGAATGTTTGTCCAATCAAAAAAATGTACAAACAAATCTGACATAGTTATAAAAGTTCTGTTCATCTGTAGAAGGTTAGCTAGCTAAATGTTGATCATGTTGAGCACTCAGCATCAAAGATGGTTATATAAAGGTTATTTATATGTAGTATGCCATTCTATGCTGAGATGGTTCTTTCCATTAGAGTTTAAAGTTCTTTTCCCCCGCCTTTTTGCTTTTCAAATCTGTAACTGTCAAAGCCACATCATAACTGATTTTCTGGAGTTCATGACAGACTGTCAACGTACTCTCAATTGGTAAATTATTTATTTCTTAAAATTTGTCAAAATTGTTACTTTCAAATTGTAATAATAATATAAAGATATAATGAAAATAAACTGTTTGTTGGAGCCTAAATACAGTTAATTGATAAATAATTTAATTTATGCGTTAAACAGTAATTTGCATGATTCATTTTATGTGGAGAAAATTGAAGTGAATATTTACAGTATTTACAGTTTGATGCAGTTAATATTTACAGTAATGCAAGGAGTTAATTGTGTAATTATCTAAAATGTGTGTGGATAATTTAGAGTGTATTTTATATTACATTGGTGATATTTTGGGAACAGAGGATTATCATAGCATTTTTTATCTTTAACTGCATGCACCTTTAAGTGCTGGGAATAATCTCGCGAGAGTTAGTGAGGAGAGTTAGTGAAGTTATCTGTGTGAACAGTCAGGCAAGCAGAGAGTGGAGCCACACAGTTTTTTGACCTTTACCTTTCTTTCTCTTTAATTAATCATTTTATTTTATGTAATTTTCCTGTGCTGATGTTTTGTTGATAACCAAGTAAACGGATATATTTTTCACGAGTTGTCCTGTGGATTTATTGAAGTGGATGTGGACGAAGGCAGTGGATAAAGCGTCAAGCTAAGGCTTCATTCAGTGGAAACCTACACTGTTATTAAAAAGGCTATTAAACATCACTAGGTCCTACATAGAACTTTCAAAGCACAGTTCTACTTGAAACCTTATAAAAAGGGTTCTATTCAGCACCAAAAAGATATTAGTATCAGTGATTAGTAACAGTGAAATTATTACAATATAACAATATTTGTTAGGAAATGGCAGCACCAATTACTCCAGCTGAGATGCAGCGTCGCTACAGGGAAAAGAGAGATGCAGATCCTGAAAGGAGAGAAATGTATTTGCAGAAAGAGAGAGAGAAATGGCAGCGAGACAGAGAGACAGGGAAAAAGAAACGAGTGGCAGACCTCAGCGAGCACGAAAAGCGTGCCCAACGGAAAAAATGGAGGGAAAGGAAAAGAGAGACGAAAGCCAGAAAAAAGGCCAGGCCAGCGATACCCTCTCCCCCAGCAACTACTTTACCTCCTGAATTAGAACCAGTGGCAGAGTACTCAAGGTCAGGAAATCTGTATTTGGATGGAGTTATTGGTAAAAGTTTAAAGTAAGTTCTATTGTTTCATGCAGAAAAGAATTGCATATTAATTGTGTTGTATTCTTGGGTTTTAGGCAAAGACAGCAAGGTCAACGCCAGAAAAGTAGAAATAAAAAAAGATTCCAAAGAGACATTGAAAAGCTTAAAGTGGCCCTTGTTAAAGAAAAAGCAAAAAAAGAGAAATACAAGAAGAGGTGGCAACGGAGTCAAACAAAGACAAACAGTGATGGCCAATCCCCTCGTGCACAACTTGCCAAAATTTTGCCGGATTTTGTTGATCCTAGCACACGCAGAAAACTTCTGTTACAAGCCTCTATCATTGAAGAACTGAAGAACAAATACAAGAACACAAGAAGAGAAAGAGAGAAGCAGATTATTGCAAAGGCCACCACAGGCAAGATAATAAAAAAAATAGGTTACAGAGGCTTGCTCAGAAGACCCTTGGATATTCTCAGAAGAGAGCAAGATTGCAGGGTGACATCTCCTTGTTTCAGTGGACAGCAAGGTACAGCAACTGCAAGAGAGAAGGTGGTATCATTCTTCTTGAGGGAGGACGTCAGCCGAATGACAACGGGTAAAAAAGAAACAGTCACCCAAAAGAAAAAAAGATGCAGAAGAGGCTGCTGACTGACACAATAAAAAACCTACACAGGAAGTTCCAATCTGAAAATAGGGACCAGGTGTCATATTCGCTTTTCTGTACCCTTAGGCCATTTTGGGTTGTAATACCCACTGAAAGTGACAGGAAAACCTGTCTATGTAAAACCCATGAAAATATCGGGTTCATGGCCAGCACCCTTTTCAAATGTGGGCTTTTATCCTCCAAAAACCTTGAAGAGATGGCTGATGCGACAGTGTGCAACCCTGACTCAAAAGCCTGTGCATACGGCGAATGTTTAAGTTGCAGCACTACTGCTGTGACCATGGTGTGACCTGCCTCCAACAATGCCATTTAACTCAATCAGTGGTCAACCGAGACATCCACATCCGATAAGGAGAAGAAGGCGATAATAACTGTCAAAAAAGAACTGACCAAGACTGAGGATGTTGTTGTTGTTCAATTCCAGGGAAAAATGATAAAATTAAAGCAACATCTAGAGCAGTTGTTAGAGCAGAGGTGCTCTAACAAGCTTAAACTCCAGGAATCGGTTGTGGAGCTGTTCTTTGTCAGTGAGAACAGTGTGTAGGAAAAGGTGAAGGAAATGCTGTTGGTAAGTGTAATTTCATCGTGGTATTTTTGTCTTTATTTTCAACTGAGAAGAACAGTATGAAAATTATTCTACTCAGTTCAATGTAAAAAATACCAAACTCAAAAAAACAGTAGGACAAAAACCAAAAACAATAGGAAATATGAGGAAACAATGAAAATTTATTTAATACAAACTTAAGAAAACAGAATATGGACAATTGTATACTCACCTCAGAAAAACAAATAAAAGAATTCCACATTTACTTGAGAAAAAAGAATTAAGTATAATACTCACTTGAGAAAATAAATTAACAACAAATGAAGCATTGTAATACTCACCTGAAAATATCTCTCCAGGTTTTGTTATTTATATTTTATTAATGTGCAGATATTTTCCTTCTTCATATTTAAGAGATTGTATTGGGATTTGCCCTGGACAGTGAACACAATGGTAAAATGGTAACTCATGTCTTTGTCATTTGTCTATTTTATTTTTTTATTTTTTAGGTGCCCCCCTTAACTGCCGTGAAGGGAACCATGAAGGTCCATCAGGTGATCAGTACCTTGCCAGGGAAAATCCAGTACAGAGACATAACCTGTCTCTGCCAAAGAGAGCAGGGAGTCATGGACTGTCCATGCTTCAGTCTCAAGGAGGCAACCCTTCATGCTGATGTGGGACTTATTTTAAAAGCAAAGGTTCCAACAACTTCGTGGCGACCAGAGGTCATTACTATTGACCATGTTGGCAGTTGGTGTATGGTCAAATATGATGATGACCACTACCCTGGCATCATCATGAATGAAGAGGATCACAACATAGAGGTCAACTGCATGCATCGCAATGGCATCAATAAATTCTTCTGGCCGGGTCAGAAAAGACATCAGCTGGTATGCTGACAATCAGATAGTGTGCCCGATGAAAGAACCGCAGGCCCTCAATAAAAGGTCTTTACAGGTAGATCAAGAAACATGGAGGTACCTTAAAGAACAAGTGTAGCAAAACCACACAAAAAATGGCATCTTTGTTCCTTCTTGTAATGTTTTTTTTAAGTTTGTTTGTTAATCCAGTTGATGTAGCCAAAACACCACAAAGGGCATCACTGTCCATTACTGTTCCTTCTTGTGATGAATTTTTTATTTGTTTGTTAATCTAGTTAATTCAAATGAATTATGGCATCTTTATTTTTAATCAAATATAAATAAATAAAAATGTAATTTATTATGTCTGTCTTCTCTAATTTGTAAATATTTCTCTAGCCATCTGAAGAGAGAATTGTTTTTCCCCCATGATTGATTGTGATAAGGAACCACATAGCTATTTTTTGTGTCCCTCCCCCAAAGGAAATTTGGATTTTTAAAAAAATTGTTTTGAAACAATATTATATAGGTGCAGTTCCACACATTACCAATGGCAAACCATGCAGGACAATGACAAAAGGCTCATCCACTGAACCTGTTAACACTGGTGTTCCACCCTGTTATGCTCCTTTCCACCCTGTTAGACAAGTTATTTTAAATAATAATTTGACAGCAATATTAAATGTTTGGCATACTTTTGTCTTATTTTGTGAGGTGAGGAGCACTAACAGCATGTATATGTTTTTGAGCCAATTTTTATTATTATTTACCATCCTATTTGCAAAAATGGCCACAAAAAGTACCAGTTTTTAATAATCAAGACATATTCTATTCATCAAAAATTGTTTTGCTTGTTTCAAGAAAAAAATAAATAATCTAAGATGGCATAAGGGACATATACTATCCAAGAAAAGCTCATTATTGTTTAACATTTCCATTATTAACATGTTGTGATAACTATGTATATGTCCCTAACAGGGTGGAATATTTTCATGGACAGTGTCTGAACAATCTACCCATAATTATTATTTTCAGAGTCCCTGAGCTTGACCAATATGTATTCCTTATAGTTAAACATGTCACTATTTTGGTAGAATGCTAAAAACATGAAAATCATGTCCTTTTTTTCCCAACACTTATGAAGCCAAAATGTCACCGCATAACAGGAATGACCTATTTTAGTCACTGGCTTGACTTATGCATAAATTAGTATTGAACGATTTTGAGAGAAAGATTACCTCTCTGAACTTGAACAATTAGGCTACACATCAGAAATTGTTGCATGGTACCTCGATCGATTTATTTTCAGACGTTCATCGAGGCCAGCTCTGTATTGGCCCAAGTTGGGGAAACAGTCGTCGGTGAAATGTTTGGACCATACAAAACTTTGGGAAGGTGTGTCGCCGCATTTCCAGAGAAAATAAAATTAACCCATTGTTTCTTCAGAGGCTCGGATGAAGGAACTAAAAAATACTTTTGTGTTCATTTGTACATCCGAACACTGATCAACTGCCATGCTTTGCTCGTTTGCAAGTCATGATATCTCTCGAGGAAAAACTCAAATCGTGCTCGCGCACGATTGCTCTGGGGGGGGGGGGGGGCAAGCAGAGAAAGGGGAGGTTACCTTTCCTTCGTATGACATCATACGGAGGAGATTCAAGATCAGCCCGTCTGAGCTTTCTTTTCTTAAAGGCAGAGAAAGATAGCCAAAGCTCGGTTTACACCGATTGAAATTTCTAGCCACTGGGGGACCATATACAGGCTAGGGGAACTCATATTAATGTTAAAAAACCTCAGAAAGCGAAAATTTCATGTCAGGGAACCTTTAACTTCATATCAGAAAGAAGCACTGACCGAAGCCTTTCGAGATCTTCAGGTAAAGCCGTTAAGCCCTCAGGGGATGGCGCCATATCGTCGGTCTTGCTCGAAGCTTCACCGTCTTTGTCGCCAGTTTTATTCCGAAGTTGCTTTCTACTTGTCATTTTTGCTCGACCGTTATTTCAAGTAGTATCAGGTGCCAGATAGTCGATTGTAGTGAATAAATATCGAAAAAAATGACTAAATGAACGAAAGAGGTCGGGAGCGACACTCACGTGCGTCTACTCACGCCATGCTTAAACCGGAAGTCCATGAATCACTTTTTAATAGTCACCATTGTTGAGATTCATATGCTGATTATTGATGCCTGTGTTAGTCTTAATAATGCCATAGATGAAAACTTTTTGTGCACAAACTGTTTGTAAAATCATTCATTTTATCTGATGGTCACAACACTGCAACATAGATGTTTTTAAAATCTGATTGTCACAACAATAGATCTTCAGGTCTAATTTAAATAAATAGACAACTATTAATACATCACCTGTTTAAACAGAGATTAGACTAGGTAAAAGATCAGTGAATCAAGCCACTAAAAAATGATTTTCATCATCAAAGAACAACCATTGACACCTGATCATACTTTCTTTTGAGCCATAACAAATGTGTTTTATAATCACATGGGTTACAGCAGTCAAAGACAAACTTATTTGCAAGGGTCAAGAGTCCAACTAAAACAACTGCTAATCTCCAATATGAAGACATTAAACGAAACTCAATAAATCATCACCTTCTAAACCTGTGTCACTTCTTCTTGTGTCTCTCCATCTATGTCTGACTCTGGTTTGACAATAAAAGCCTAAATGTTTTTGTAATTTTCAGTGCATGTTTGTTTGAGGTAAAAGGACAGAACCTCTTGAGGCTCCGCCCCCTGTGCTGGGAGCAGCAGCTCATTTGCATCTAAAGTTTTTCTTTCCTTCAGTGATTTTGCTTGTTAACAGCAGGTGTTCATCACTAATGCTCAATCATCACTTAATTAGTCACTTAATTAATCGCTTAACTGATTGACTGCAATGTATATCTTCTTTTAGTTTTTAAAATTAAATTAAGGTAATCGGTGTCCTCAAATGTAATGAGTTAGCTTAACTTAAAGGATTTGACTTTGTGTGTGATATTGTGAGCTAGCAGCTATTAAATACAATTTTGTAATTTCACTGTTTTTACTCAATATAGTGAAGTTTCACCTATATAAGATATTTGAATGCAGTGTAAAGTTTAATTATGTATTAAGAAATATCCTTGTTTTAGTGGACTTGATTAAAATAAGTTCAGAGTACTCATAACTATTGTTTTTATAAATGTTTTGTTGTTGTTTATTTTTGTTTGTTTTTATTGAATTGAGGTAATCGGTCTCAAATGAAATGAGTTAGCTTAACTTGTTGGGTTTTACAGTGCACCTCTCAAGATATTCAATACAGACATTAGAGAATACATGAAATAACATTTTTGATAATCACACTGGTAATTTCTATAACAAAGTACAATCTCATAAGCCTAAAGAAGTCATTCAACTCATTTGATATTTAGAAGAAAAATATTGATTAATACCTTGATTATAATCACTCATTAGATATACATTGAAGCAGCAGTGGATTCCAGATTTAAATCATTACAGTATGATTGTTGCTTATTTATAACGTTGAAAATATGATTAAGCTAAAATCTTTTTTAATCAATGAACGAATGTGTTGTACCAGGAACAGTAGTTCTAATACCTGCTTTTCCCTAATACATTTATCAAAATTAATTGAATAGAGTGATCACTAGGAACATACTATAACCTTTGGAACATGAAGAAACCCTTAAAGGTGCATTGCGCGAGTCTCTGAGTTTTTGCAGAACTATGCCCCCTCTGGCAACAAGCGAAACTGCAACCAGAGGTGTGCAGGCTCATGGACCACACGCACACGCACGCTTGCACGAGCACGAGCTGTTCATAACCAAAGGAGCATCAGCCGCACAAATCTTTTGTTTACAGTCATAATGTCATCAGAGGTAATAAAGTTATAAATCTGCAAGTCATTTTAAATATATGAAAGGAAAGGCATTTGAGTAAATTACACACTTATGTGTGAGGGGAAAACGGGGGTAGTAGAAAACTTTGGTTTTTGTTTCCATCTATCTCCATGTTGAACTGTTTTATGTGTTTACTGTATCCACTTATGATTGTATTATTATGGAAACACGTTCATGAACAATATAAGTTATTATTTTGTAAAAGCCAACTGAGGATCCCGTTTGAGCCCTAGAGCAGACCGGAGATCTCTCCATTTGCTGAAAGCCTTCCCGATGTTGACTCTCGTCTTATTCCGACGCCTGTCTGACTCCAATTTGGCCCTTTTGGTGGCACTAGACAAAAGTTTTCTTTTCTTTGTCTTACGTGGAGTTTGCGTTGGGGTTTGAAATGAACTACAAGCCGGTCTCTTAGAATCCATCTTCTACTTTTGTCGAAAGTTGACTAAAGTTTTGTCGCTCGAGTTGTCTTCGCTGATACGGAGAATGGCGGCGAATACACAAACCTGCCAGACATAGCCAGGTGAGCGTGAACGCGCATGACGTCACGCCCAGTCTCAAATTCCGTCCCGAATCCCTCTTATTTATTTTACTGTACAGGATTATAGAGGCAATCGCAGTGATCAGAGAAGGGCTCATTCAGCCCATCAGGCAATTGTTTAAGCATGTGGGTTAGAAAAACGGGTATTTTTAACATGAAATGCTGCGCAATGCACCTTTAAGGTGAATTACAGTAATTTTTTCATAAAAATGTGTATGTACTGTACTTACAGTAAGGCAGGTATTAGTAAAATGTAACCTTTAGTAAGTTAGTCTGATCACTAGGAACATTCTCCAACCTTTGGAACATGCAAAAATACTTTAGGGGAATTACAGTTATTTGTTTCATAAACATATTTGATTATTGTACGTAAAGTAAGGGAGGTATTGTCAAAATGTCACCTGTAGTAAGTCAGTCTGGTCACTAGGAAAGCACTACACCCTTTGGAACACGAAAAAATACTTACAGTGAATTACAGTAATTTTTTCATAAACCTATTTGATAATAGTATATACAGTAACGGAGTTATTGTCAAAATTTCACCTGGAGTAAGTCAGTCTGGTCACTAGGAAAGTACTACCTTTGAAACATGAAAAGAATGCTTTAGGGGAATTACAGTAATTGTTTCATAAACATATTTGATTATTGTACATACAGTAAGGGAGGTATTGTCAAAATCTCACCTGTAGTAAGTCAGTCTGGTCACTAGGAAAGCACTACACCCTTTGAAACATGAAAAGAAAACTTTAGGGAAATTACAGTAATTTTATTAATAAACATTTGATAACTGTCCATACAGTAAGGGAGGTATTGTCAAAATGTCACCTGTAGTAAGTCAGTCTGGTCACTAGGAAAGCACTACACCATTTGGAACACGAAAAAATACTTACGGTGAATTACAGTAAAACCTATTTGATAATAGTATACAGTAAGGTGTCACAGTCTTCGTCTGCACCAGTCTGTCTTCATCTTCACTACACTTCCCAGAATCCTTCTTGTCTCCACACCTGAACTCACTCCCTCAATCACCCACCTGTTCTTCGTCATCATCATCCGTGTCACCTGTCATTACCTCGTTATTGTTAGTTTGTATCTGTCTTTAGTTTCCTTCTGCCCAGTCTGTCCTGTCGTTTCTTGATTATGTTATTGTGTGTGAATGTTACCTGCCTGTCTGTAGCTACCCTGAAGCTATATTAAGTAAAGAAGTTTATACTGGACCTTCTGCCTTCTTGCCTTGTCTTCCTCCAACACCACACCGTGACAGAAGAACCGACCAAGAATTAACAGAAGAACGGACCTTATCATGAGCTGGGAGCTCGCTGGACAGATCGTGGCTTTGGCTCTGGATAGCCGTGATCTGTTCCATTTTACCTGGAATTTTGTTCCTCTCGCTGCATCCTGCTCTCTGGATAGTGAGGCGATTAAGGCGTGTTACCGGCTGGGGGCTAAGGCGGTTGATCCCAGGGAGCTTCCAGATCTCTCCGGTCTGGACTGGAGAGAGGCACTCTCCAGATGTCTGGAGAGCTTTCTCCCATGGCACGCCATGTCATCACCGCTGGTCCCGTCCAGCCCAGAGCCTTCACCGCTGGTCCCGTCCAGCCCAGAGCCTTCACCGCTGGTCCCGTCCAGCCCAGAGCCTTCACCGCTGGTCCCGTCCAGCCCAGAGCCTTCACCGCTGGTCCCGTCCAGCCCAGAGCCTTCACCGCTGGTCCCGTCCAGCCCAGAGCCTTCACCGCTGGTCCCGTCCAGCACAGAGCCTTCACCGCTGGTTCCATCCAGTCCAGAGCCTGCGCTCCCCGTCAGCCCTGCCGAGCCTGCGCTCCCCGTCAGAGACTGTCCACGTCCCGTCTGCCCAGCCAGAGACTGTCCACGTCCCGTCTGCCCAGCCAGAGACTGTCCACGTCCCATCTGCCCAGCCAGAGACTGTCCACGTCCCATCTGCCCAGCCAGAGAATGTTCACGTCCCGTCTGCCCAGCCTGTTCCTGAGCCTGTCTCAGTCCCTGCCCCAGAGCCGGTCCCTGAGCCTGTTCCAAAGCCTGTCCCCATACGCCCTCGCCGTGGCCACTCAAGGGTCCACGGCGACCAGAAAGATCCTCTCCACCGTGGCCACCAGAAGAGTCTTCACCGCCGTAGCCGCCCGAAGGGTCGTCTCCGCCATGGCCACCCGAAGGGGCGTCTCCGCCATGGCCACCCGAAGGGGCGCCTGGCAGCCTGCTCCGACCTGGTCCCCTGATCTGCCAGCTCTGCCCTGGCCGCCTGCACAGCCGGCTCCGCCCTGGAGGCTTCCTGCTACGCCCTGATCAGCCTTCAGGGCGCCCACCCCCCCTCCCCTGTTGTTCCACGGCGTGAGGTCACGCCTACCGGGAGGGGGGAGTAATGTCACAGTCTTCGTCTGCACCAGTCTGTCTTCGTCTTCACTACACTTCCCAGAATCCTTCTTGTCTCCACACCTGAACTCACTCCCTCAATCACCCACCTGTTCTTCGTCATCATCGTAGCTGATGGTCACACATGCCAATAATATTATTTAACTTACGTTTACACTTTTGCATCCACTGTTGGAAATCTATTGAAAAACAAAGTCCGAATGTGAGAATATGAAACCAACTTTACCGCAGTACAGGGGAGCTCCAGTAAGCACACGTAATGTCTCTAACGTGGATTTACTTAACCATATACATCTTAAACACGCTTATTTAAAATGTCTATTTACATCTATATAATAATAATAAAACAAAATTCTGTTTCAAAATTTATAGGCAAGACAAGTAGTTTGTTTAGGCATGGGTTGTATGGAATTACAAACCTGCGCACATATTTTCAAAAGCACATAACTATAGAATCAATTCTGAATGTGCATGTGAACGCGGCCGCCGTCAGCGTTAATCACAGGTTCGCGTTTAAAGTCTGATCATTTCGACGGAGGTGAATCAATCAAAATTAACTTTAGCTGGAAATAACATTATTCAAGAACCGCTATAAAGCCAAAACAATCTCTGTTACCTTAAATTATGTTTATCTCTGTAAAGCTGCTTTGAAACAATCCATTGTTAAAAGTGCTATATAAATGAAGATGACTTGACTTGACTTGACATCTGAAAGGAAAATATTGTATAAGTATTGCAGATGAGCACATCACAACATGAAAAAGACATCTGAGTGATACGTTATGTGTGCTATTATGTAGGATAATTCACTGTTGTCAACACTGTTTACATTAGACAAATGTGCTGTAAATAAGGTAAATAAACAAATCTATAAAGTAACTAAGCATGTTATACATTTTATTTGTCCCTTATTACTGTTGATAAATTGAGGAACATTTAAGTTGGTTAAAAAGTGAGTTAACACATCAGCTACAACCTCAGCATGTAAATGTAGTGTTGAGCTCATAAATCACAGAGGTAATGTGAATCTTGTCAGGATGTTACAGGGACAGAAGAACACGCGTGTGTTTATCCGATGGAGAGAGGGTCATGATGCTGAATGCTGTCATCAAAGGCTTTGAGTGAGTATACTACAGAAATGGATAACAAAATCTATTAAATCTTAAGTTGTAGTTTATTTGAATTATTGTAATTTCAAACGGAGAAATTACAACACTTTTCTGGTTCTTGATTTCTGTGCATTTGCTGCAGAGCTTTTGTGGTGGAGCAGGACCTGCAAGGAAAGATGATGGCAGCATTTGTTGGGAAAAAAAGGTTTTAGGGATTTTACTCAAATATAAAGTAAGGTCATTTTTGTTATTTTTAATACATAAATCAAATGACATTGTGCTGTTAAAATTACTGCTTTTGTATAATGTTTGTGCATTTTTGTAGGATCTGAAATGTCTGCAGACTGGTGTGAGCACTGAGGATGAGGAGCCCAGAGCTGAATCCTGGAAGTGGTGCCATGGATGAGACCCTCCATCTCTCCATCTGCCCTTATGAGACCCTCTATCGCTCCATCTGCCCTTATTGCCTCAGATTGTGAAGCGCAGCGCAGCACAGCAACAAGCTCTGGCACGAAGGCACGGCTCACCTCTGGTGAATTCATCAGAATAAAGCCGCAGAATGGGAACCGCTGTGTTGAGATGGCAGTAGGATGTGGGGTTCAGTGCCTGTAAATACATGCTTGTAGTTTGAATAAAGCTTTGTTTCATGTGTTGTTGACTTGTATATGCATTTGTTTATTGTGATGGTTACTTTTATTTGTTCTTTTACTCATTTATTCATGTTTCTTATTGTTGTCATATAAAATATAATTATTTAATTAATGTGTGCATTAATTCATTGCTTGACTGACAATTGAGATGTTTCACTGCATTTATCAATATAAATGTATTCATGCATAACTATGTCATATGACAAAACAAATTACAGTTTGCTTGTTTTATTAAATTATATCATTTTTAGTATATAAAAAAGTAATATAATTAAGTATTGGTCAGCATTTAATATTATTTTGTTTAAGTTTTGGGGTGGGCTAACAATGCAATTCATTCTGAGGTAATATTAATTTTTAAGGAGTGATACTTTCATTTTTTGAGTATAAAATCAACAGTTTTCCTACGGTGGCCGACACGCTGCAACAGAAGAAAACACATACAAATAGAAAAAACGCATGCAAATAGAAAAAAAACGTGTGCAAATAGAAAAAAACACATGCAAATAAAAAAAAAAACACCCGCAAATTAAGAAAACATCTTCATCAGTTTCACAACACACGTGTGCTCCAAATACTCACAACACCACCAAATACAGAAACGCGCTGCAAAAGCTCACAACACAAATACATAAACGCGCTGCAAATAACATGGACCACAACGGAAATGTTTCCAGGGGAACCAAATAAGTGACGAACCCGGCTGGGCCGAGCTGGCATAGATAGATATCCATAAATCTATGCGTGCTGGTGCTTACAGCTTAAAATTCTACTTTATTTATTTATTTGTGCAAAACATACAGAGATTAATTTTTTTTTATGACATACAACTTGTATACAATGTACAAAATGTATTAACAATATGTTCAATGTCATCAGAATACAAATGAGAAAAGAACAATGAATTGGAAACTAAAATAAATAAATAAAAAGATAAAGAAGAAAAACATGAAGGAAAGATATTTATCTATACATCAGTTACACTGTACAAATTGTTTCATGTTATGTTTACATTTTCATAAAGAAAAGTTTCGTAGGAAATGTTAGGTAATGTAGGGTCCAAAATTTTAAAGTTGAGACACACAGATATATAACGCATATTTAAAAAAAAAAGTAAAAATACAAATGTATTTGCAACCGTTATGTTAACAGCATTATATTTCTGTCGTAAGACCAGCTCTTCAGCTGATGGACGCCGTGCTGCGTTGTCATGGGAACATCCCAGGTGAAAATAATGAGGAATTACGTTGTCTTTAGTTGCTCCTTCATCAAGTGCGTTCCACACGGCTATAATGGCACACTAGAGCCCTGCTCACTCCAAAGTCCCACTTTAAGGGCTCTGCCGTCTGCCCTTCGAAGGGAGTAGGGCACAGAGACGCTCACGAGCAGTAAGCACGTCCCAGCCGGGTTCGTCACTTATTTGGTTCCCCTGGAAACATTTCCGTTGTGGTCTGTGTTTATGTATTTGGTTGTGTTGTGAACTTTTGCAGCGCGTTTCTGGATTTGGAGCACACATGTGTTGTGAAACTGATGCAAGATGTTTTTTTTTTAATTTGCAGGTGTTTTTTTCTATTTGCACGCGTTTTTTTCTATTTGCATGTGTTTTTTCTATTTGCATGTGTTTTTTCTATTTGCACGCGTTTTTTTCTATTTGCATGTATTTGCTTCAGTTGCAGCGCGTTGAGCTGTCTCGGCCACCGTAGTTTTCTCCAAAGGAGAGATCTTCGAGCAGCTGCCCATCTCCTTTGTGCAGACATTACAAACGCAGAGGAAAACTGTTCTAGGTTGTGCTGTCGAGTTACTGATGTTATGAAATGTTAGTGCACCTGTCGCTCATATAATTTAAACTTATAAACTTATTACATACAAGATACCATAGTTGTATCTAACAATCATAATGACAAAACAGAAAACATAAAGATCATTGGTTTGTGTACATCATAATATATTTATACAGGAAAAAAGAGCAATAACAAGGCTAAATATCTTTAAATAGTTCTTCATAATACATAAAAAGAAGAAGTTTTTTTGTTGTTGTTATAAGTCTGAGGGATGAAACGAGAGGTAAATTCATCAAGAAAAAGAGGAAAACTTAAAGGAGAAACTTTTTGGGTATAAAATAAAGAAATTAACAACATATGAGAGATGACGACTTTGGGGTTTCTTAATAAAAATGATATCGTTATAAGGATAAAACTGTGGGTCACATTGGTAGGGTTTAAAATATAACAACTTAAATCAACCCTATGTATTCACAAAATAAATGGGCAGCTGTTTCTTCAACAATTCTACCACAAAATGAGCAAGTTTCATCAATATCAAGATATTTATAGATAGATGAATTAAACGTGTCGTTCATATATTTTAAGTTGTTGCGCTTGTGATAACGCGTCGTAGTAGGTCACATGATAACGTCAACATGGCAGATGTCCGGTTCGCATTCATACTCAACGAGATTTTGCTATAAAGTACCTACTCTTTTAGCGCTCGTTAAGTAAGTACTTCTTGAAATTAAGTAGCCTACCTACTCATTGAGTATGCGGTTTCGAACGCAGCAGTGTCTTAACATAATGGCTATGTTTATGCAACCGGCCCCCTAGTCATTTTACATATTTCGGAACTTTTAAATAGGGACTTCCCATCCGAGCGTGAACATAAATAAACGTCATTTAAGTTTTTTTTTTTTTTTTTGGCGCACAGCTCTCTCTATCTTCCTCAACGAGGTATGCAACGGGTTAAGGAGCGGGGCTTCAGAGTCTTCTCTTGTTCGCCACGATGAACAAATGAACTCTTGGGGAATGAAATTTAAATTCCATAAAGGAGAAAAAGTTCTCTGTTTTGAACCTGACCCATCCAAGGCCAAGGTGCTCTACGATGCAAAGGTAAATAAGATCATGTTGCTACACATTAGCCTTTTAACAGCTTGTTTTGGTGTGTTGCAGGCAATACAGCTTCTCGCATGTATGGATGTTCCTTTTCCCCCCACATTTCCTCAAATTCATTTTTCGGCACAGTAGTGAAACTGGAGCGGATTGCTATTGCAGTTTCTAAGTATCACCCATATAATCAACTTTAATAACATGTGTATATACACTGGCTGTATATATATATATATATCTATATATATCTATATCTATATCGATCATAGTGTGCGTTAAACGGATTTATATTATTAAAAGTCCATGGCGTTGCGTGGTTAAGAAACAGGAAAAGTTATAGCACGTTAGCTCGCTGAAGTAGCTAGTAGCGCTGCATCCGCCCTATGCGAGGCCTCACCATTCTCTTTAATCATGCCCGATCAAGCAAAAACATTTCAATAAAATGAACTACATTTAAAGTATCCGCGTTACGCTAGTAACACCTAATATCAACTGAAATAAAATTGCGTGCACACAATTAAACTCAACCAACTTAGCAACAGTTGTGACGTCAGCATTATGCGCCGCACAGGCTGCTGCGGTGGCAAACTGGGGGAAGGGCATAGGATGAATGAATCCTCACTAGCCAGAAAATGTAAGATGATATATATATACGGTTCCGCATTCTATCGTGTGGGAGTATTAAATTTGAATTTGTGTTTGCGTTTGCATTTCAGGTTGTTGACATAGCAACAGTAAAAGATGACAAGGGAAAAAGGGTCCCAAAGTATCTGATTCATTTTAGTGGTTGGAACAGAAGGTAAGAAGAGGTCGCATTTTTGGCTTTTAACATTTGTGTATAGCTAATTATTTGACATTTTAGCGGGACAGTGTTTTTTTCATTGGTTTTAACATTATTGTGAGTATTTGACATTTTAGCGGTAATGTTAATGTTTGCCACTTTCAATGTTGTCAATGCAGCGAATCCGTATACTGAAGCATGTGTTGTTTTGCTGTTTTGCAGTTGGGATCGCTGGGCTGCAGAGGATCATGTGCTCAGAGATTCTGACAATAATCGCACATTACAACGTAAACTGGCACGCAAAGCTTTGGCTCGCATGTGAGTTTCAATGAGCCGCTGCTTGTTCGCATTGTTCAGTTATGCAAAATGTTTTGTCTGGTAATTCAAACACAATTGATTGACTTCCTTTATGAATAATAATAATATAATAGCATAATCAAATCTGGCATACTACCATGGTACAATGGGTATCTGGCTTTAAATACCCCATACAATGAAAATTAAGTTGTTGCTGGTTTTAGAAATCTACTAGCTTTAAAGGGTTAGTTAATTAAAAAAATTAAATTGACACTTAAATTTCACTCACCCTCATTTACACCTTTTTCTAAACCCATTAGACTTTTGTTCACCTTGAAACAGATTCCAGATTGTCCTTCCATTGAAAGTCCACCCATCCAAAAATTTTAAGCTATAATGTACATAAAAACATCTCAAAAGTAATCCTTATTTATTGAGCATTTTTGGTGTTTTCACCCAAAAATAAAATTTCTTTCATTAATTACTCACCCTCATGTTGTTCCAAACCCGTAAGACCCGTTCATCTTCGGAACATGAATTAAGATATTTTTTATGAAATCCGAGAGCTCTATGACCCCTCTATAGACAGCAATTTAATTACCACTTTCAGGGCCCAGCAAGGTAGCTAAGACATCGTTAAAATAGTTCATGTGACTCCAGTGGTTCAACCTTAAAGGACAACTCCGGCGCAAAATGAACCTTTGGTCTAATTAACACCTTGGTACCTAGTCGACCGTTCTCTGAGATTTGTTTTCATGATAATCGAATGTAAAGAGTTTTATCTCTAAAAACTGTTTAGCGTATAACGCTAGTGTATAGGGCATAGAGTAATGGAAAATAAAAATTGCTAGTTAAAACCACTAACAAGGCTCAAAATAGCCCCACACTAACACGGTAGCATAATGAGGGTCCCTACATGCAAACCGAAGCATTGAGAACTTTGTAAGTGTACAGACAGTTTAATAAGAAGATTTTTAATAAAGACAGTCCACTTCGCGTTTACAGGCAGGAGCCATATTTGGAAAACAGTCTCGGACCAGTCGAACCACGAACGCCGTGCCAAGTGAGCTGAACTGTGACTTGTAATCTCAAATGATCCGTTGTTTCCGGAAGAAAGCACTGAGCGCATAAGAGAAGCACTGAACGCAACAGAGAAAATAATAAAATAATAAATAAATAAAAATAATTAAAAGAGACTTTTTATTTATTTAAAATAAATAAATAAAAATAATTTAAAAAGGAGACTTAAAATACACACTAAAGAGATGGCGGATTATTCAACCGACGAATCGTTTATGTTTGATGGACGGTCTTATCTTTTTTCGAGCCGGAATATACTGACGAAGAGCTGCAGGAGCTCCGTGAAAGGGCTACGAGAGAGAGAGAGCTACCGGTGGTCAATGCCGCAACACAGCCTCGTACTTCGGGAAACTAGTGGTGTACCTGCTGACATTGTGAAGCTATGGACACCGAACAGGAGTGCCTGTGTTGCACGGAGCGGGACCTGTTGATTCGCGACAACCAAGAGACGCATTGTTTTGTACAGTCTGAAGATTTCCCCGCTCTGATAAACAAGGCTGTACTTAACTTTTTTCCATGTCCCGAAAATAAATTGGAGGCGGCGACCCGATACCGGAGGGACCATATGGACAGTTATCCACTGAGTAAGTGCACTAGACAAGTTATGTTTTAAATCGGTGCAATTATTTCTGATATATAGAGCAAATATTGCGTGATTTTAGTTTGCATCGCCAGCTGTAAGTCTTGCTCAATGATCTGCATGAATGACCGAAAAACCTCTTGCCCTCCCTCTCCCCAGCCAGTGCAGACTTAAACAGATATAATTCATGCATTTCCATGTAATTCGATTTCACAAACGTAATTCCGATCGACCAGCTCACTTGCCACAGCGTTTGTGGTTCGACTGGTCGAGACTGTTTTCCAAAGATGGCTCCTTCCTGTATACGCGAAGTGGACTGTCTTTATAAAAGATCTTCTTATTAAACTGTCTGTACACTTACAAAGTTTTTAATGCTTCGGTCTGCATGTAGGGACCCTCATTATGTTACCGTGTTAGTGTGGGGCTATTTTGAGCCTTGTTAGTGGTATTAACTAGCGATTTTTATTTTTCATTACTCTATGCCCTATATACTAGCGTTATACGCTAAACATTTTTTAGAGATAAAACTCTTTACATTCGATTATCATGAAAACAAATCTCAGAGAACGGTCGACCAGGTACCATTGTGTTATTAGATCAAAGGTTCATTTTGCGCCGGAGTTGTCCTTTAATGTTATGAAGCGATGAGAGAGCTCTCGGATTTCATCAAAAATATCTTAATTTGTGTTTCGAAGATGAACGAAGATCTTATGGGTTTGGATTGGAACGACATGAGGGTGAGTAATTAATGACAGATTTTTAATTTTTCTGGGTGAACAAATAATACACAGTATGACATTTAAACTTCTAGTTCAGGGGTATTCAATTAAAGTTCCAAGAAGTCCGGTCTCTATATTTCCTTCCCAGCAGAGTATTGTCCAGACGGACAATACTTTTTTGTAATTGTTATAAATTTCCATTTGGGCAACAGTAGTACTTTGTAAAAGTACAAAGTACTACTTTAGAGCTAAGTCTGACATCATGCTCGTATCAGATGCCAATAGCCTTTGTCTCCATACTAATATCCCAGATGATCAGACAGTGATTCATCTTTAATGAATCATTAAAACACAGTGGACCCAGAGACTGCAGTCTACATTGCAAGTTTATAAAAGGTAAATAGATGGAGGGGGAAGATGGCGCATGAGGTGGTTTGGCAGACTGAAGGAGTTGGTACATATCAAAATAATGCATGGGACTACGGTTTGTTGGGCTCCGTGTTGCTTGTGTTGTTTTATAAAGTATTGGTGGTGCCTACTCTTCTAAACATTTTGAAGAAAAGCCAGCCATGCCTACCCAAAACACAATGGAGCGTAAGACGCAAGAAAGCTCTCCTAAGCAAGGGAAAACGCCACTTCTCTCATCACAATTTAAAGTTGGTAAACGTTTTTATTTTACTTGGGTTTTGCGGCGGAGTGCTGTTGCTTTCGACGGTGCAAATGTACAACAAAGCGAACATTTTAGCAGAAGAGTCGTTTGAAGGATCCCAGTACCTCCAAAGTACAAACAAGTTTGGATATGGACACGGTCAATTTATCATCTTCACTGCAATCTTAGATAACGGGGTTGCAAGAACCGTTCGCATCACTAAACCAGACATACCATATACTCGAAAGAAAAAGATGCTAGCCGATTGGACAAAAACTACTAAAGTGCTATGTCTGCTAATGTTGTTAGCCGGTGACATTCACCTCAATCCGGGTCCTGTTGCGCACGGCGACATCTCGCGGACACCAAGTCCTTCGGCCGCTATTGCAGCTCGGTCCACACTGGAGGTGAGGGACACCGCCCGGCTGGGTACGCCGTCTTTCCGCGTCTCAAACACAGCTGTGGATGTTCTCCTTTCCGCGATGGGTGCGTTGTTGCCAGAGGGAGGCTGTGCCCCGGAGCCCAGAGAGGAGCGTGCAAGGGGACTGGCGCCGGTGAGCGGGGCTGAATCGGCGCTACATTTTCCAGTGCATGAGGAGAGGAGAATTCTATTGGAGGAGGACTTACTATTGCGCGTGTGCCCTGTTCCAGTGGCAAGGTTGTCCAGCCTTGACGGTGGAACATTGTCCAGCACCACAGAGATGCAAGCGCAGAAGGATTTGGGAAATCATTGTTATCCATATCGGAATGAAGGACCGATGCCTGATACATTTTTAAAAGCAGTGAGTAAACGCGAATCTTACCAGTTTTTTTCCACTGTGAACCATGCGAAAATTTTATGGGACAGCAAAAGTAAACCTAAGGCCATTTTTGGAGCGCATTTCAACATTAGGAGCCTGTTGCCAAAGCATGATGAGGTTAAACGCTGTTAATGAATTTACACTTTTTAGGCCTGAGTGAAACATGGCTTCATAGTGGGATTAAAACTGGTTTAATCAATATCCCAGGTTACAAATGTTATAGAAATGACAGGAAAACTGGAAGAGGAGGAGGAGTGGCACTTTATTTAAGAGATAACATGACATGCACAGAAGTCACTTTTGATCATGAATTAAATATTGAATATATTTGTGTAGAAATCTCATTATCATCAAGTATGCATTTTAAAATTGTGGTTTTATATGATCCTCCCTCTTCTAAAGATGTATTTTATGATGAGTTGAGTAAATTGATGAAATTGGTGGCCCATAAGTCCGAAATTATTGTACTAGGTGATTTTAATATAGATTGGTCTAATTCTGGTAAAAGGAAAAAACTCAAACCTTAATGACTAAATTTGATTTCACCCAAATAATTAAGGGTGCCACAAGGATCTCAAAATCTTCTAGGACACAAATAGACCTAATTTTTTCGAACAAGGATGATCGGATTTTGAAATCATATAATTTTCTAACTGGTTTGTCTGACCATAACATGATTTTCGTTGCCCGAAAATTATCAAAAAAACGTCTGCTAAATATAAACAAAACACAGTCAAATATACTGACCATTCTAAAGCGTGATTTTCCTGCTGTCGATAATGAATTAAATGCTCTTGACTGGAGCACAACTATGGACAATGATGATGTGCATAGCTGCTGTAAAGAGGTAATGAACAAGGTTGAAGGGATCATTTCTAAGTTTCTTAAAAATCAAAAGCATTTGAAAAAGAGAACACTACCCTGGATTAATAAGGAGTTGAGAAAACTAATGAAAGAAAGAGATCTGGCCCTGAAAGTAGTGATATAAATATTTTTAAAAGTCTAAGAAATCGAGTCACTAAAAATATAAGAAAAGCAAAAGCGGAGTACTACATTACAACAATAATAGAAGCCAAGGGAAGCCCTCTCATAATGTGGAAGCAAATAAATGGTATTGTGAAACCGTCAGGCAAATCAAAGATCATCCATGAGCTTAGAAATGGAGGTAGGCAGATTAGGCACAGTAAACAAACAGCACTGGAATTTAATACGTTTTTTGTTTCGTCAGTGGAAGAACTGGTGCAACAAGTTAATGCAGAACAGCAACTAAAATTCAGTAAACAATCAATAATCCAATATTCTCCATTCTCACTTCAGCAGACCAATGAAACAAAAGAGCTTGAAGCTATAAATTCAGTTAACAACAGTTATAGTAAGGATCTTTTTCACATAAATTCAGTCTTTTTGAAACAAAATAAAAACACTTTTGTAAAGCCGCTGACACACTTGATCAATTTGTCTATTCAGAGCGGACAATTCCCCACACCTTGGAAACAGGCAAAAGTTATGCCATTATTTAAGTCAGGAACACCTGACCAGGCATGCAATTATCGACCCGTAAGTATCTTACCTGTATTTTCAAAGGTGTTAGAAAAAATTGTGTATGCTGTAGGACTCCTACAGCAGGATTTCACAGCAGGATTTCCTATGTCCTACAGCAGGATTTCAGGTGTACGCTGACGATGCAGTGGTTTATGTGCGAGGGTTTCTGATGTGTGCATGCAGTTTCTGATGAACTGGCAAAATACCTGCAAAATGTGGCGGTGTGGTTTCAAAATGCAGGTCTGACATTGAATGTTAAAAAGACTATGTCTGTTTGCTTTGCCTCAAGATTTAAGTCCATATCAGAAGAACTAAATTTACGGATAAATGAGCATAAGATCCAGCAGGTCTCAGAGGTCAAATGCGAGAAGATCACTGCATAGTTCTACATGCATAATTGCTCTCAGGGCTGTGGGTTCAAGGACTAGAGGAGCTCAGAAAGGGAACTGTCAGATCCCGAAATGTAATACTTCATTTGGACAATCAGCTTTCTCTGTACAAGGCACTAAAACCTGGAATTGTTTACCCACTGAACTGAAAGGAGAGTCAAACTGGGTCCTTTTCAAATAGAAACTTAAAGACTCTTTAATCAGAGGTCAGAAATGTGACCACTGACTGTCCGCTGCGTTTATATTGTGTTCTACTGTATTATTATGTTTATTTTAACTATGTATTGTTTAATTTTATGTAAAGGCCCACTAGGGACCTTACTACTAAAATGTTGTAGTATTGAACATGAGCTTATGTAACATACTTGTCCCTATTCAAATAAACGTAAAAATTTTTTTTAAAGAAAAATAATAATAAACAATCAAAATAGTCATCAAAGATGAGGATATTAGTTCCAAAGCAGTGGTGTTTGAGAATTTATAAAAAAAAACTTTAATTGAGCCTTATTATATATGAATATTAAAAGGTAAGGCTGATTTATTTTATTTTTTAATTTAGAGACATATGTAAGGCCATGTGAAAGAAAAGACACTGTATGAAGGTTCAGGGTTTTCCTCTTAAGAAGTCTGGACCGTTATTATATTTTGCGTTAAGTATCTATTAAAAACAAACAAACAATGTGCATAATAATCAAAATGCCCTCATAATGAGCCGAAAACAAAGGTTACTAGAAATTTCAAAGTTTTAATAGTCTTTCCTTGCCATCTACAAATACTTTTCCCAATTATTACGTAGTTTATTGTGAAATGCTCTTAACTTGCTGAATAATAATGATAAATGTAGATGTAAAAAAAAAAAGTCTTGTCAAAAAACGTATTTGAATGGCCTGAGTGTGTGTATATGTACAGATGAAAATAAATATAAATGACATGAAAATAATTGTATTTGCAGCATTTTTGTTTTCTGCAGTGTTTTAGCGAAAGTATAAATCTATTTTACCGCTCACTGTGTTTCTGCTACTGTCAAAATAACTGTCATTTGCAGCTCTTTATGTGGTGCTTTAGCGGGAGAGAGAATCAACGCGCACAGAATGGAAATGGAAAGATCAGACCGTTATTTGAGGATGCCTGTTCTAGTTCATCATATTTGTTATGTTTACATGGACAGCAGTAATCTAATTATTGACCTTATTCTGAATAAGACAATATTCTGATTAAGGTGTTTACACGAGTTGCTTTTAGAATATTCCTTTCATGTTCCCTTTTTACATGTTGCAGAACATAGATCGATTTATGGCACACGTCATTACGTTCCCATGGTACACCGTCCGACGTACCCTCCAGAATTTCGTGTATCAACATACAGTTCGTCTTCTTTAATGGTACCATATACAGTTTTGGGTGTTTCATTTTTAATTTTACTAAAGCTTCAAGTGCAGTTAATTATTTGCCATGCTATACGTGCAAATAGACATAGGCCGATACAAATTCTTCAGCAACAGGCCTCCTCTATACTTTCATTCTTTTGTATTCTTTCAGAATTCTTAACATTACCATCGTTTCCCGCTCGGACCAAAAATCTGCCGCCTTGCTTGAAGCCATGCTTGTCTGCCGTCAAACGGTACTTTGTGTGTATGTGTCCTGTCACAAAATGCGGCGAAAACTTCCACACAACGTTAATAGTGTGATTTAAGGTGCGTACATGTCTATAATGCACTTCGATAATGCGACTAATAGGAATACTCCACGTCTTAATTTGATTTGTGTTTACTTCAAGTATGACTTTAGCTGGATTAAGTTAATCCGAAATCGCTGTTTACATGGTAGTTTCTTAATCAGAGTATTGTCAATCGGCTTAATATCGGAATATTGTTGTTGTCCATGTAAGCGTACTGATATTGTGACTGCTTGAGGTCAATTTGATGCAGCAAAATCAGTATATTGTTTTTTTTTAAAATTTATTTATTTTTCTGCACAGGAGGAAAAAGGGATGGAAGAAGCGACGTTGTCGTCTGCCAGGTGTTAACCCAATCTTGAAGACCCTGACTGAAGAGGAAAAGGAGAAGAGTGATGATGCTTGTGAGTATTTAATGTTTACTAAAGGTTGTTTGAGTGTACCCACCTGCATTCAAACAAAAACGATTTTGTAAAATGTAAACCAAAAATCCTCTATTGTTCTGAATTTTCAACCTGTTCTCCCTTTTTGATATGTTTTACAGCTTTGATCTCACCATCTGATGATAGTGACGAAGACGTTTCAGACCAGGCGTCTTTAAGTGAGAGTGACTCATCTGATTCTGAGGATTTAAACAATATGGTAAGAGATTGCATAATTTAAGCATATTATAGACAGCTGGTCCTGAATTGCATTACATCACACAAATCCATTATCCAACCATAACCATTTAATTTATATTTTTTGGTTAAGTGTCTGTAAGGTTTTTCCACAAGTCTACTTGTTTATTGACTAATTTATTCAATAATTTACTTGGATTGATTTACAAACATTTGTTTGTTCCATTGTCGACAAAACTGATTTAATAAGCAACTCCAGTAAGGTGGTGATACAACTTCATGTATTGTTGGCGGATTAGACGTAAACTAAATATAGGAGTTGCATGCTTTTTAGGTAATTTATGAACTAAAATCTTTTTATTTTCTTTATTTAAGAATAGTGTTTTTATTTAGTTCAGGGAAGAATGTTTTGTGTGGAATGGATATTAATGTTTGAATGATGGATGTTTTTGGTGGGTTGGTGTTGCAGCAGTTCTCTCATCCAAGACAAATTTCTCCTACGGGAGACAATAAAAGTACCTTGACATACACGGTTTGTTTGCGCATCGATATAATGTACTACGACGTGCTTACTGTACGACTCTGTATGTCACCGTAATCGCCTTCACCTTGATTGCTAGCGAGACGCTGCTTTTCTTTATCCAGCCGAGAAACGTAGTTTGCGTATCATCTGGCCATACAGTTGTGGGATGTTTTGACATTCTGTTCTGTCTGTATTTCACGCATGAGGGCTCGCACTCTTCAGAAACATTCACAGAATATGACAGAGCTTGTGCTTTAAAGCAAAACACACAATGGAATGAATAACTCATTGAAAATGCAATGGGAGTCTTAATTCTCTGCCATCTCTGATTTAATCAGCCTGTTTAATCAGCCTTTTTTTTTAACATTAGCACTGTTTTGGACTGATTGTTTGAATGAATTCACATACTGGATCGTTGGACTGAACTTTCCCGGAGTTTAGCGACTTGATCTGATCACAAAATAGAGAAGCGAAATCAGGTTAAAGGGTTAGAATCGAAATTTCTGCCTACTAGGGTCACAGGTGCTTGCATTATTGTAGACGCTCCGTGTGAAACTCTCGACTTCCAATGGGCTTTTCGGACTGTAAACAGGTCTCCAGACTAACTTTTTGCCTTGGTTGGACTGGTGCGCCTAACGCTACAATTTCAATTGCGTCACCTTTAACGCTACAATTTCAAGGTCACCTTTTATCACGCTCCATATACAATCATATATATTATGTAAATTTATTTTTTTTCCTCAATGTTTATTTTTTATTTTACTAAAAGATTATGAAAAATATACATTATACACAACAGATAAGGACCCCCCCCTCCCACCCAACCCCATGTAACAGTCAGACCAGATAAGAAAAAAAAGAACTTAAAAAAAGAATAATAAATAAAATAAAAGTAAAATAAATAAAAACACAATAATAATAATATACAAACATGTACATTCAGAATAATTATTTAGCAGAAGTGTTCTCCACAAAGGTCAGCAACGGTTGCCAAGTGATGAAAAATCTCTTATTTGACCCTTTCATAGAACATCGCAGCTTTTCCAATTGTATGTTATACATCACATCTTTAATCCAATGTCCATATGTTGGAGGTGAAGAGTCTTTCCATTTGTACAAAATTAGCCTTCTGGCAAGAAGTGAACAGAAAACAATAACATCAGACTGGGATCTGCTTAGATTATAATCTTGACTAACAACTCCAAATATTGCTGTCGACATGGCTGGAGCGATGAATTTACCAAACATTTTTAGAAAAGGTCTCAAAAATTGGGCCCCAGTATTCTAGCAATTTCGGACATGACCAAAACATGTGATATAAAGTAGCAGGAGCTTGTTTACATCGATCACAAGTAGGGTCTACATCACTTTTAAATTTAGCCGATCTGTCCTGAGACCAATGAAGACAATGTACAATTTTAAACTGGACAATCGTGTGCCTGAGACTTATAGAGGATGAGTGTATTCTCTGGATTGCTTCCTGCCAAACATCGTCTGATATTTGATCCTCAATTTCTTTTTCCCATTTTTGTTTTAAAGATTCTAAGGCAGTCAGATTGTGTAGATTGAGTAGTCCATAGACTTTACTTATGGACTGTTTTACTCCACACCTGTACTCGAGAATAGAATCAATGAGAGATTGAGCGGGACAGCAAGGGAAACAGTTTGAATTCAATGACACAAAGCTTCTAAGTTGTAGATACCGGTACCTAAAAAAATGTGTATTAGGAATAGCAAATTTTTGGACTAACTGTTCGAAGGAGGCAAATGTGTCATTCAAATACAAATCCTGTAATGACCTAATGCCATTTTATGACCATATATCAAACGCTGCATCTGTCATAAGAGTAAATATGTGGTTCTGTCCAACAGGTGAGGCAAGCGGAAGGTTGTTAAGTGCAAAATTACGTCTAAACTGATACCAGATTTTTATAGCTTGTAGTACAACTGGGGAGAGTGTGCCAGTGGCAGCTTAATACTGACAGAGGGTTATATCAAATGGATGATTTCTTCATCTGTGCCCAGCTGGCTTTCTCATCTTCCCCCAATAAGTATAGAATTGCCCTGATATTCACCGACCAGTAGTAATATAGAAAGTTCGGCAGGGCAAGACCACCTAAGCTGCGGGGTCTTTGTAATATTTTATCCATTGCCCTAGGGTGTTTTTTATTCCAAATAAAACTTATAATTTGAGTGTCATGTAGAAAAGGGAATCCAAGGCACTCTTCTTTAGAAAATTAAAAAGCCTTTATTAAACTGGCTCTATCATGATTGAAAAAATTATTAAAACATGTGGGGGAAAATACAACCCACGCGTAGCGGCACAACCAGCCTTCTTCAGGGTATATTTTCCAAACAAACAATTTCCTCATTTATAGATGCTAATTGGGAACACCTGATTGGCAAATAGCCTGCACATACAGAGAAGGTCCACTAGGAGATAGTACAAAAAAAAAAAAAAACATCACAGAAAAGGGCTGAAATCTATTTCTTCATTTAAACCAGGATATACTGTGGCCTGTAATTCATATATATAAAATGTTTCTCTCTGTAGAAGTAATTTTAATCGGTCACCACCCCGAATACTCTTTTTGATTGTTTCTAAACCCTCAACCATTAGACCTTCTGGGTTGTTATTGTGCAAGTTTTGGAAGTGTTTTGCCATAGGATAATCTAAATTGGCTTTTCTAATGGCATTCTTATGCTCAGCTACTCTGTCTTTAAGACGTCTCTTGGTCCGGCCTACATAAAAGCATCCACATATGCATGATAACCTATATATCACGAAAGTGGTATTGCAATTAATGAATGTCTTTATGTCATACTTTTTATCTGTCTTAAAATTAAAGAATTCTTTACATGCTTTAATATTAGAGCAATGATTACAAGACCCACATTTGTAAACTCCTTTTAAATGTGTGTTAAGCCAAGTGGTCTGTTTTTCGGCAGGAAGATGGCTAGATACTAGCCTATCTCGTAGAGTTGGAGCCCTCTTGAAACTTATTTTTGGAGATGCAGAAAATACTTCTCTAAGAACAGGATCACTCTTAATAAGATTCCAATTAGAATGTATAATTCTTTTTATGGAATTGGCCAAGGAGCTATATTCTGTCACAAAATAGGCCTGATTTTGTAAAGCGGACGGTTTTTTCTTCTTCTGGAATAACTCTGGTCTAGAGATGGCCTGGGCTTTCTTATAAGCATTTTGTATAATTTCTGTATGATAGCCCCTTTCTAAAAATCGGTTGGACAGAATTTTAGCTTGCACTTCATATTCGTTATCTGTATCACAAATCCGTCTAAGACGTTGAAACTGGCCAAAAGGTATGTTATTCTTTAGCCAATTTGGATGGAAACTATCTGCTTTTAACATGGTGTTCCTATCAATTGTTTTGCGATATACAGTAGTGTGGAGTTTCCCATCTTTACCAATAGAAATGGTTAGATCTAAGAAGTTAATAGTCGTTTTGGAATGTTCCATACACAATTTTATATTCCTATCATTATTGTTCAAGTACTCATAAAATTGTAGCAATTCATCAAAAGAACCTCCCCAAATCATAAGAATATCATCAATATACCTCCCCCACCATTTAATCTTGTCAATATACCTGTGTGGATAGACGAGATCACTCTCCCACAAACCTAAAAAAAGGTTAGCATAGTTGGGGGCAAAACATGCACCCATCGCAGTGCCCCGAACTTGAATATACATTTGGTCCTGGAAAAGGAAAACATTGTTCTTAAGTGTCCATTCGGTAAGCTGAACGATGAACTCGGAGGGAGGCAAAGAGTCTGTAGGTCCATTGGTCAGGAAATGTTGTAAAGCTTTTAGTCCATCATTGTGAGCAATATTTGTATAAAGAGATTCCACATCCAATGTGACTAGGAAACAGTCATCAGGAACTTTCATATCATTTAATACCTTCAACACATGAGTGGTATCCTGTATATAGGAAGGAAGTTGTTGAACCAATGGCTTAATATGAAAGTCTATAAATTGTGAAGCTGGTTCTGTAAGGGTAATTTTACTACTAGTGATGAAGAATCCACTTCGATCTCTAACATGTCTTCACCAGCTGCTTCCACCACGTCTGATTTTTTGGACGTAAGACCCAAACACATCAAACCCAACATAAAAAGAAGAAAACAAGGAGAGGCAGAAAACGGTCAAGGACAAAGACAACAACCGAGACAACAACCATGGATTCTCAGGGACCGGAACAAGAACAGACGGTAATTAAAGCTCCAGTCGGCAAGTCTGGCAGATTGAGTGGATTTAGGAAAATTTTGAATGTTTACAACTCTCATGCCCCTCCCCCACTATCAACGGATACCCTCCCACCCAGTTCATGCTCGTCAGTGCGTGTGCACCAGATTTTCAGTGAACGCCAGGGCTCTCAAGTGTCACTCATTTCGGTCTTTTGTCACGCTCTCCCGCCACACATTGTATTTCTCACGCTGAAAAACTATTTGTAATATATTTAATATGCCGCAGC